CTTCCTTCCTTCCTTTCTTCCTTCCTCCCTCCCTCTCTCCCTCCCTCCCTCCCTCCCTCCCCTCCCTCTCTCTCTCCATTTATTTATTTATTTATTTATTTATTTATTTATTTATTTTTTACTTAGATTTTCTCCGTGTGGATACACCTTGTCCACCAGTCAGCATTTTAAACATGGCGTCTTGTGCCTGCCTCAGCCTGGTGTCTGCCCTCCAGGAATTGCCCAACAAAGATCTAGTCTAGTCCTTGGCAGGCCTCCTGCTGGACCCCCTCCTCCTTCCAGGCTCTTCCAGGAGCTTCTTATGACACTGCCCTGGGAGACAGGAATCAGGAGGCAGATCTGCAGCATCAAAATCTCCTGGATTCCAGGATGATATTTGTTCACTGTTATTCCCCTCCATTGGGTGTTGGAAGTTGATTTAATTATAAGATTATAGCCCCATTCAGTGGTATCCATTAAATATGAAATGTTAAATTAAATGTCAAGTCGGAATACCCACCGTAGCAAAGAGGAAATGTTCTCGAGGATATTGGTTCTGCTCATTGGAATCACACCTGTGTTATCTTACTTTTTTTTTTTTTAATTGCTTGAATGGCCGAGGCCTCTCGCTTGTGTCTTCCAGGAAGGATCATTGAATGGCTCCTGCTTGACAACATGCACCACCAGTGGCTTCTGCTGGCTGCATGCTTCTGGGTGATTTTCATGTTCATGGTGGCCAGCAAGTTCATCACGTTGACGTTTAAAGACCCGGACGGTAGGTGTGCTTCACGGCAGAATGGATTTATGGGCCGGTGGCATTCTCCTGCAGCACTGTTGCCAGGCACCAAGCGTAAAGGACCACCGTCCTGACCAAAGGATACGAGGGGGCTTCCAAAGTCTTCGTAGACCGGAAACCAGGTGGAGGAGGGGAGGAGGGGAGGAGATGGCTATATTGAGTCCCTCCTGCTCGCCTCAAGAGGTGCTTTCTTTGTGGCTGAAGCCACTGTGTCACCTTTGGGATAGAGATGCTTCCTTCCTGCCGTGCCTCTGAGTGCCTGGCTGCAAGGAATGTCACAGGGCTCTGCCTCATGTCCGGAGAAACACAGCTGTGGTTGCGCAGCCAGGGCGCCAGCGACGTGCGGTGGATGGTTTCCCCTCGGCGTAGCGGAAGCGGGGGTTGTTTAAATGGGCCTTGTGAAGCTGTGTTGTAGGATTTCATCTCCCTTTACTAGACAAAGACTTTCAGGGGAAGAGGATGAAGAAGAGTGCCAGATTAGGTCTTAGGCAAGCTGATTCTGCTCCCGGTCTTGCCGTCTGTTAACCTCGGCCTCGGTGTTCACATACAAAATGGACACACGCCCTGCTCTGACGTCACCAGCTGAGAGGCAGGTTAGTGAAGGGCTGCCGTGTGCATGGAGGTTCTGTACCACTTCCTCCAGGGCCAAGGGGAGGAGCTGAGGAGAGGAGGGGCATGGCCCATGTGGGGACAGCTCCTTAGTGCAGTAGACTGGCCCGAGAAGCAGATCCTAGGAACTGAGCAGAGAGCTTTGTGCATCCTTCTGTGGTACCCAGCTCATTAGAGGTGTGTCTCGACCAGCAGTGTTCACCACTTACGTCTAGTAGCTGTCCTAACCTGTGACATAGTAGTTTGACCAGTTGTCTATAGGCTCCTTCTATACCACCAAGAACTCTGGGTAGGTGCCTAGCTATTCTAAGGGCATCTAATATCCCATGCTTCTCCGTCCTCTCTGTCCAACTTTACCAATGGAGAGTCAAAATGAAGCAGATCTGGCGGATATGGGAGGAGGAGGAAACCCCAGAGTTAGCCCATGTGGTGGTTCCCCTCACCATGGTTTGTTTGCAGATAATCCTTACAGGCACTTCCATCCGGCACCATCTGGCTGTCATCACAAGGTCCATCCTCATCTTCCTGAAGTCCCTGGGAGAAAGTTGATGAGGTTTGCATGGCCTAGGGTAGGGGGTTACACTTGCTGTATCGGACACCCAGAGCCATCACGGGGTGCTCAGGACCAGGGGCTCCGTCAGAAGCATGAGCTTCAAATCTTAGGGCAAGGCTGGAGTTTGAGCAGTGATCTCAGTGTCCGAGTTGGGAGATTTTTAACAGTGACAGCACAGTCAATAGGGTGATCTCTCGTGAAGACAGAGAACGATTTTCATCTTGGAGGCACTTCCTAGTCAGCTGCCGGGCTCTGTCACCTTCTGCTGATGACACAGATAAAATTCAGAGTTCTGAGATGGGAACCAGCCCCAAATGTAGAACGGCTAAAAAGCTGAGAGCATGTGACTTCTGATCCTCAGATAGATCTCTTAGTAAGGAAGGCAGGGGCAAGGCAGGGAGGGTTTGTTTTAAAAACCAGGACGGTGTGTACTCTATCTCAGCGAGACTCCTGCCAGTCATAGGTAAATAATTGAAGCCTGGTGACACACACCTTCCACTCTTGCCACTCTGGAAGCTCATGCTGGGGACTGAGTGAGCCTGGGAGTTAGAGACCAGATGGACCACAAGTGAGGCCCCATCTCAAAAAAAAAAAAAAAAGAATTAAAAAATACACTCTTGCATTTTGTTTGTTTGTTTTTGGTTTTTCGAGACAGGGTTTCTCTGTGTAGCTTTGCGCCATTCCTGGAACTCACTCTGTAGCCCAGGCTGGCCTCGAACTCACCGAGATCCGCCTGGCTCTGCCTCCCGAGTGCTGAGATTAAAGGCGTGCGCCACCGCCGCCCGGCTGCTCTTGCATTTTAATGTTCTCTGACAGGAGCTGTTAAGGAACACCTTCCCAGCAGACTCTGGTAAAGACAGTGTCACTGTACTGGGAGGTCACAGGTTTTACGCTCACTGCTCTCAGAAGGGCACAGACGCCGGAACTTCCAAAACTTAAGAGACATTGAAAGTAAAAAGCCTAGAAGAAAGCCAACGACCCTTTCTTAGGAGAGGCCAGAGGACGGCTTGTAGGAGTACTTCTCTTGGCGTTCAGGGAACCCGGGAGCACAGCTAGCTGCCCTGGGAGTTATTCTTCCCTGCTGGCTCTCTTCCCTTGGAGCTGGGTCCCTGGTGTGGAATCCCAGCCACAGCGTGTGTGTGTGTGTGTGTGTGTGTGTGTGTGTGTGTGTGTGCGCGCGTGCGTGTGTGTTTCTTCATGCCTACCCGTCCGACATGATTTCCATGTTTGCCACCTTTGACACTACGGTGGTTTGTGTCAGCTCAGCAGTTTGTGCAGTGACCTATCCTTAGCCAGTTTCTTTTTCTGTTGAGCAAGAACCCAGTGTGTATGACCAGATTGTATCAAGGAAAATAAATCCAGCCCAGTGATAGGTATTTAGTGGCATGACGTGTCAAGATTTGAAGTCATAAACAACCCTTGCGTTCGTCTGTGATAGTTGTACGCAGTTTTCTTTTATCTGTCACACTTGCTCTTTCAGTCAGTCTTCGGCCTGATCGCAGCCCCTCAGGTTGCTCCGAATGGCCGACGGGCAGACCCCATGACTTTGCATTATCTCTACCCTCTGCCAGTGGCATGGGTTTGTGGCTGAGCTGTGAGGTGGGAGGAGACATCGTTACCTAACACAGGGACAGCTAGGGGACGATTGTGGTCGCTTTCAGAAAGGCAAAACAAAGCAGTGTTCTCTTCACAATTGTAGACGTTTTGTACAAACCCATAACAGCCATCACTATGACTGTTAGCAAACATAATCTTAGCCATGAGCTCAGGTGCCCCCCATGCCTTGGGGGATCACAGCCCTTCACCCTGAAGCTGGGGACTGGCTTCTGATGGGCAGAATGAAGGAGGGACGTCACCTCTGGTCACAGCAGCGACGCTGGCAGAACACCAGCAGAACAAAGACAGAAAGCAAAAACTAGGCCACTCGGCTTCCTCCTCTGTCTGTAGTTAGTCAGGGTTGGGTTAGCTAGGGAGAGACTCTGGGGAGCTTCGAAATCACAAAAATGCTCACACCAGGGTAATGGCGGACAGGCGAGCTGGGGCTGGAGGGTGAGGTTCCTCGGTGGCCATGGCCTTCTGTGTGCTCCGAGCATGGAAATGAGGTGGTTTTCTTTCCAGAAGCCAGTGGCCAAGTCCGTTATTTAGCATTCAGAACACATTTCCCTTTACCCGAAATGTAAGGAAACAGGGGTTTCACAAATCCATTTAGCACGTCAACACCCACCGGTGACAGGTTTTGTTAGTGGCGATTGGACCAGTCAGTGTAGGTGTCAGAGGCCCTGCAGTGCAGCTGGGGTGGTGGCCACATGACTTCAGCCACCAAGCATCATGCTCTTTATCCTTTGGCAGGCTCCGAACAGCTTGGGCCTATAGCTCCAGCCGGGTTTGCACTGTTACTCCAGTGTAAACGAAGATGGCTGTGGGGTTCATGAAGCAGGGACTGTAGTCCAGCCCAGTCACTGAGGTGTGGGGGCACAGTGAGGTGCCTCCTTTCTCCTTGTGCAGAGGCGAGCCAAAGCAGAGTATGCAGATGCTCGGCTTGCGGCAGGGGGAGCAGCTATTCAGTAGCCTGACCGGGGAGGCGGGTGGCGCTGCAGTTAAGAGCACTGGCTGCTCTTCCAGAGGATCCAGGTTCAATTCCCAACACCCACATGGCAGCTCACACCTGTCTGCAACGCCAGTTCTTCTGGCCTCCGTGGGTACCTGGCACGTATGTGGGACAGGTACACATACAAAGTGAAATCACATAAAGATAAAGTAATCAAATCAATTGAAAAGAATGGCTAGACTGGGGTGGCCTGGGGCTGTAGAAAAGCGGGCTCCATGTAGGCATCACTGAACCAAGACGAGGGACGTTTTTATTAAATGAAGTAATACTTTTATATGTTGTTGTGTGCTTTTATTGTATCCTTATGTTTCTGTGAGACATTGAAAGTGCATCTGTTTTCAGGAAGTAATAGATTATGTCCAGATTCTATTTGAAAGGTTTCTACAAAATCTGTTTATTTCAAGTTTTGCTCAGCTGAGTGGTTTGTAAACTGTCCTCTAGGCTGACTTACAATCACGTGAGCTCTGACGTGAACATGGAAACTCTAGCCTGACAGCTGGAGTTTTGTTTTTGTTTTTTGTTTGTAAATTAAATTCTGGGGGGAGGGTGCTCTGGAGATCACTGAGGGGTGGCATGCAATTATAAGAAATACCACTGAGGGACTGGAGACCTGACTCATCAGGATAAGAGCACTGGCTGCTCTTGTAGAGGACCCAGGTTGAGAGCACAACTCCTAATTGGTCTTAATAATAAAAGCCCAGAGCCAGATATCAGGGTAGATGCTGAAAGACCAGTAAAGGAGCCAGCCACTAGAGGGACTTCTTACCTCTACCGAATCCTCAGCCTGAAAGGGTCCAAGCTCCTGTCTCCACCCTGCCTTATCACTTCCTCTCTCTGCCCAGCCATATCACTTCCTGTTTCCTCCTGCCAAGTGGTGGGATTCAAGGTGTGCGCCCCCACTGCCTGGCCTCTAGTGGCCAGCTCCACACTCTGATCTCCAGGCAAGATTTATTTGTAAAAGCACAAACAATATCACCACACAGGTTTGATTCCCAGCATTTACATGGCAATCCACAACCATCTGTAACTCCAGTTCCAGGATATCCAGGCCCTCTTCTGGCCTCCCCAGGCACCAAGAACACACATGGTACACAGACATACATTCAGGCAGGATATGTGTGTGTGTGTGTGTGTGTGTGTGTGTGTGTGTGTAATATATAATTTTTTTTTTAATAAAAAGTAGCACAGGACAGGGAGACCCTGTGTTCCATTACCACCTGTCCTCAGAGGGTACAGAGCTACACTGCAGTATCACAGTCAGGATACTGGCACAGATGCAGAACACCTCTGTCACCCGTGAGGGCTCATCATGTCACCCTTGGTGATGGCTGTCCTTTGGTTTGGGTTTGGATGTTTTTGACATCTAGATCCAAATTTCGTCATCTAGCCCAGGTTGACTACCGACTTGCAATGCTCCTGCCTCAGCCTCTGAAGCATGGGGATGGTCCAGGTATGTTCCACTATGCCTGGCTGTGTCACATCCATGTCTATCCCTCCCTCCCCCCACTTCCTGAGCCTCGGCTCCTGAACCTCTATCCAGTCGTGTCATTTCAAGAATGCCTTGTAGCCCGTGACCTTTTGACTTTGTTCACACATGTAATCCCCTAGAGCGTTCATCTAGCATGTTCATAGGGTTATCAGTGATTCTTGACTTTTTTATTGCTCAGTTGTGTTCCGATGTATAGGTGTACCCCGGTTCATTAGCCACCCACCTGTTGAAGGGCATGTGGGCCACTTCCGGTTTGAGGTCATGACAAATGAAGCTGCTGTGAACATTTGTATATAGGTTTTTGTGTGAACATAGATGTTTTACTTCCCTGTAATAAATGCTAGGAAACACAATTGCTTGTTCTTGTTACCATACTGCCCTCCACCCCCCACCCCCCACCCCCACCCCCGAAAAATTGCTAGGCAGTTTTCCAGAGTAGCTATTTCATTTCTGCAACATTGTTTACATGACCAGTTTTCTCCACATTCCAGCCTTTGATGTGGTCGCTGGTCCTTCTCACATATTCTGATGAGGCTGTGGTACTGTCTTCCTGTGATTTTGATTTCCATTTGCCTCGTGGCCAGTGGCGGTGAGCATCTTCAGTGATGTGTGTCTGCATATCTTGTTCCTTTGCAGATGGGCTTGTTTATAGTTTCTTTCTTTCTTTTTGGTTTTTCGAGACAGGGTTTCTCTGTGTAGCTTTGCGCCTTTCCTGGATCTCGCTCTGTAGACCAGGCTGGCCTCGAACTCACAAAGATCCACCTGCCTCTGCCTCCTGAGTGTTGGGATTAAAGGAGTGCGCCACCACCGCCGGCTTGTTTATAGTTTCTTAAATGCTGCATCTGTTGACTTCTTCGTGTCTTCTAGATGCATGCTCTCTGAGTGTGGCTTGTAAATGCTTTCCCTAGCCCAAAGCTCCTCTTTTCCTCCTCTTCAAATGGGCACAGGTTTTGAGCTTTGATGGAGTTCAGTTTTCTAAGGATTCTTGTCCTGTGTGTTCTTCTAAGTTCCGAGGCTTTGTATTTCACGGCTAAGTCTCTAAATTCTTTTCAAAAGAAGGTATGAGGATTAGGTAAAGGCTCCTTCTGTAGGTTGAGGTTCGCTTGCTCCGTCTCCCTTTCTTAAACAGACTGACCTCCACTTGGGTTGCCTTTGCCAAGAGCCAGTCAGGCATGGCTGGGTGGGTACAGCCTTTCCCAGAGTGGCATTCCAATCCCACCAATTTCTGTGTCCCGTGCTCTGTGAGGAGATATCTGAATCATTTGTCTTCCAGGGTATAGTGCCAAACAGGAGTTTGTGTCCCTGACGACCCTGCCGGAACCAGGGAAGCCAAGAGGAGAGAAGCATTTTCCTGAGGGTACGAAGGTGAGTGTAAGCCCTGTCCCTCCGACGAAGACACTGCTTTCCTTAGGACACACTGCACAGTGGCCCCGTCACATGGAAGCAGCTTCCCCCAGCGGCTCACACAGGTTCCCACCTGTGCCATTGCAGCCGGGTTTATAGTGCAGGGTGAGAATTCCTAATCTGAAAATCGAATATATGAAAGCTACACAATCTGAAATTGTTTGAGCCCACACGATGGAAATTTCCACGCCATGAAGCTTTGTTTTATGCATCGAATTAGCTAAAATATTCTATAGTGCCAGGGTTATTGCTTAATGCCATGCTCCTACCTAACACGGAGAAGGCCCCGGACTCAATGCCCCAAAATTGTAGAAAATTTCCTCCAGGTGTATATAAAACACAAATGAAGTTCAGGTTTGGACGGGAGTTCTTGCAGTATCGTTTTATGGATGGAAAAATATTCCAAAATTCCAAAAAAAAAAATTCCACGTCCAATGCACTTCTGTCCCTGAGCACTTTGGATAAGGGACGGCAAGGGTTGCTCAAGCTGGAGTTCCTTCGCTTTCTGTGTCCCCCCCATCATTTGAGCGTGGAGTCGGTGAGGCCGGTGGTCTTCTGTGCTGCGTCCCTCCTCACCGGCCCTCTGTAAGTGCTGGTCATGCTGAATTCCTTCCTGATGGCTGGAATGCTGGCTTCCCTGGGAGAATGGAGTGTGCTGAATAGGGTCAGGAAGAAACTGAGACTGTGAAAAGATTTCTGACCCAGAGTGGAATTTGGGGCTGACAGGGGACATGGGACCAGCCTCCAAACTGTATGGATGAGCAGCTGAACCCAGAGCAAGGGAGAGGCCCCCAGATGGCACGGCAGATAATAGGCTCAGCCCATGCCGTCAGCTTTTGTGGAGTTCTGAATGTCTGGGTACTGACTCCCTGTGTTCCTCTGCGGGACCACTTTCACACATAACTCCCTTTGTTCCCTGTCCAGGGAGAGGGATATACTCAGGAAGGTCCCTCCCTCCCTTTGCCAATCCTCATGCTGGGTCTGAAAGGTCACAATCAGGACTGAAAGGATAAAGTGTCCATCGCTGAAGACGTTCGTCAGTCCAGGACTAGCCTAGGGAAAAGGGCAGACTGCTGCCTGGTTCACAGTGCGAACGCGGCAGATTAGAACCCAGTAAGAACAGAGACATCCCAATCAGAGCAGGCGGCCATTGTGGTTTCTTGACAGCAAGACATTCATGTAACAAAGGTCAGGTCTGCAAAGTTCTTCTGCGATAACCCAAGGGACATCTTTAATAGGAAATATTTAAATATGTGAATGGAGAATACCACAAGGGCAGATGAGCTATTTGCAAAAGCAGTTCAAGGCAAGGGCCCCATTGAGAAGTTACTACCTCTGGGGGAAAAAGAGCTTAACCTGTAGTGGTCCCTTGCTATTTCAAGATGCCTTTTAGAAAACACACACCTTCTGGGATAGACCCCCCAAATACCACATACACACTCATGCACACACCCAAGGCATGATTGGTAAGCGTTCCTGAAACACTAGTCCATATATTACTGGTACAGCTCCTTCTGTCCCGCCCAGGCTCCTCTGCTCTTCCTGTTCAGCATCTCTCCTTCCCAACACATACAGGGACTGTGCTCACGTACACACACACACACACACACACACACACACACACACACACACACCGTTGCTCACGTGCACACATGCACACACACACCGTTACTCAGTGAAAGCTTTCTTGGGTATCCCCATAAGACCTTGTAGCTGTCACACACCCAGTCAGGACTTAGTAGCTATGGAGTGAATGGTCCCGCTAACCTTCAGAGCCATGGCAGATGGGGGTGAGCTTGAGTCCAGGACTGCTCACCTCAGGGATGTTCTTCCGGGTTGTGAAATGGCCCCGCACACTGCCTCTTCTCTTGGAACTCCAGCGTTCTCATCTTGTCGATTCATCGGGTCAGCCTTCTGGGAGAGTCACAGGAGCCACCTGTCACTGTCCATCTTTAGAACTCGGCAAGGCAGTGGAGAGGGGCCTGAGAAGGGCCCTGCGAAGTGACAGACAAGGAATGGTGGCCGTCACTCTAGGAATGGAAAGAAAACGAGAAGGGGGCTTCAGAGGTTCCCTTCTGCTTCATGCCCATGATCCCTCTGCCTCTCTCTGTCCCTCTCACTGACAGCCAACTGGGAAGATGCTTTCAGAAGGCCGCCCTGACCAGCCCCCGGTTTACCTGGAGCGGCTGGAGCTGGTCAGAAACGCCTGCCGGGAAGAGGCCCTGAGGAACCTCTCGCACACTGAGGTCTCTAAGTTCGTCCTCGATCGAATATTTGTCTGTGACAAGCACAAGATCCTTTTCTGTCAGACCCCCAAAGTGGGCAACACCCAGTGGAAGAAAGTGCTGATCGTCCTGAACGGTACGCGTGGCGGGGGGGGGGGGGGGGGGGTATTATCCGCCTGTGATGGGTGACGGTGGCATCCAAGGAGGTGATGGTTTCTTCCGAAAAGACCCCACGGTCTTCCTGAAGGTTCTCTTTAAAAGTTGGCGGGGTTAACGCTGTTTTGTTTTTACCCTGTTGGCCATGGAACCCAGGGCTGTGTGTGTGCTAGGCAAGCATCCTACTGCTGAGCTCCAGTCCCAGCCAGCCCCTGGTGGCGCTACCTGAGATGTTTTGATCACGGAGCCAAGGGCAGGTTTTCCAGAGTTTTCGCAGCTATAACTTACCATCTTCACTCAGATCATCCACCCCCGTCAGCCCTTCTTCTCATTCCCGGCCACCACACCCCTCTGAGGCATTCTGTAGTCACAGGATCCACAGCCAGAGCCTGGGAGGAGACTCCGGCCCCCCGGGGCCTCAGGCAGCTTCACTTGTAGACCAAGTCTGCTGAGCCTGGCTGTGGAGACAGAAACTGCCGCACCTTGTCTGCTGTAGACTGAAAGTGTCCCATTAGCTTGCTTCCGAAAATCTAATGTTCACTGGGGAACAAATTAAATCACAGGAAAATGAGTTCATACACTGTGGATTTGGTTATTCACCACTCTGTTTAGACACCAGGCTTATTTAAATCCCAATTAGTCTATACTGACCTAAAATAATTATAGGCTCTGTCCGCTAAAATTCAGCTCCAACTGACTGAGTTCCAAGCAGGGCTGCTTCTGGTCAGAAATCACACCCTAGGTACCTTGGGACCAATTCTTGTGGTTCAGCATCATGCCCACAGGTCCCAAGCCCGCTCCTGGCTACACTGGCCAGCTGGCCGCCATTTGCCCTTTGTCCAGGTCAGCTGGCGGACAGAAAGGACAAGGCCTCATCCTCTGGATACACAGTTAAAGTGAATGTGCTCCTGAAGTAATGCGCCAGTGTGCTGGATTTTTTTAGTGGGAGCTCGAGGCTCCATACAAATCAAGTTGAAAACAAAGTACACCGAAAAGGCCCCCAGATGGGTCGGGGCAGAGGGAAGCATCCCGAATCACAAGGGCGGAATGAAATGGAAGTAAGCTACGTGAATGTGTGTGTCAAAACACCTCACAAGATCACAACAGACTTCCTGTGTTTGTCAGAGTCATGTGCTATGTTTTTATTTATCATTACAAGTTATTTAAGAAAACAACCCCCTTGACATCAACACCCATCAAATGTTTAGCGAGGATAAGCAATTAAACTTATTTTTAAGAAGGCTTTTACTATCTAACTCATCACTTTGTTCAGTAGAGAAAGTCAGCTTGTTTATTTCTAAAACAATGTATACTCATAGAATTTTATTTCCTAAAAAATAAAAGAAAAACAAACAAAATTAAAAAGCATAGGAATGGGTTTGCCAGGTCATATAAAGCTGAGAAGTCCCAGTGAGCATCATCAGCTGATCCCCAGTGGGCCTGGACAGTGAGTGGGCCCAGGCCCAGATCCAAAGCCCTGGGTCCTCCATCGTCCTCTTGTATAAACTGATGCCCTGACTCTTCCATACTGTGGTTAAGGGGTGGTGGTGGTGGGTGGGTATTGTGGATAGGAGAGATAAAACAGCCACAGGCATCTGGAGGAGTCCAGAGCAGAAAGTAGCAGACTGAACGTGGCCAACAGACTGAACCTACCTTAGTCATGAGAGAGGCAAGGGCAGAGCAGAGGTGGCCAGGGTGGAAAGACAAAGAGAGGGAGACAGAGAGGGAGCATGGCCGAAATAGCAGGGTTATAAGGAGAATGAGTAGCTTTGAGGAGGGAAGCCCTCCTGATCCCCGAACTTTAGCCGGGGTTTCTCATCACCAAGTGTCTTTGCCATTTGCCGTGTGGGCTGCCATGGCGTTCTGTGAGAAACACCATTGGTCTAGTAGTGTTGTGCCACAGAAGCACAGTCTGCCATGGAGACGAGGACTCGGCAGTCCTGTGGGCATAGGGGGATGCTGCGCTCCATGTCATGCCCCTCCAACATCTCCTGTCATCTCAGAGGAGAACAAGCTCTTTCATTTTTTAGGGAAGATTTAGCCTCGAGGTACAGTACTGGGGCTGTGTGCTGTCAATATTCGGTCTGTTTCCTTCCCCATCCCCTACATAACCTTCTTTCTTCCCGTTAGCTGATGGATGGGAAGGAAAAGCAGCTCCTGTTTCTCCTTCCGGCAGAAACAGCTGGAATCCAAAGGTGCACGCGTGGACATTCAGGGTGGGCTTCTCCTGTGTGCTGTGGAGGTTAAGAGGCCTGAGACGCCATGGATGCACTCCTCTAAAGATCATGCTGAGGCAGTTCATGCTCTTTCTCCTCTTGTTTCCCCCAGGAGCGTTTTCTTCCATTGAAGAGATCCCCGAAAACGTGGTCCACGACCACGAGAAAAATGGCCTGCCGCGCCTCTCCTCCTTCAGCAAAATGGGAATTCAGAAGCGGTAAGGGCAGCTTCTTCAGAGGGGAAGAGGGAGGGCAAACAGTCTTCCAGCAAAGCCCCACCCAGGCTCGGTTTGTCCTTGTAGTGTGAGCCACTCGGCTCCAAAGACTGCGGGTCAGCCGTTTTGTGTTGGCATGCGGCACAGATGCAGGATCATCACTGTCCTTCTTGTCGCCAACACAAGCCCTTCAAGCCCATGCGTGCCCTGCTCTGCTGCAGCCCCCCCTCCCCCCGGGGGCAGCTCGCCCGGGTGCCCTCCCTATTGGAAGTGTACAGCCTGGCTTCCGAGTCCTTTCCCCCATTCTTTCCTCTTAGTTTGATTCCCCTGGCAGCCTGCGGTGCCCTCTTTAAAGCTATGCCCATAAAATAAGTCTCTGGCCTTGGTTAATACCAACTCACGGTTCTAGTCCTTGTGATTTCCTGCTCAGGAACAAAACTTGTAAAAGTTTTTGAAGTTTTGAATTAGGAAAATAAAACAAACCCTTGGTTAAACAGTTTCTCATCAGTCCCAGAGGATGGATGCAAGGGCTTTGAGCAGTTTGGGCTTTCTTTCTTCCTTTCTTCCTTTCTTCCTTTCTTCCTTTCTTCCTT